TCAAACGTGTCGGACCTGCAACGCCACAAGGAAGAGGCGAACACTGATAATATAAGGGGGCCGCTACACGTAGAGTGACAAATCGTTCAAGCCAAGAGGGTCATTCTAGAGTCCGCGCTCTGTCCTCCCGCTTGTGCGTCGAGGAGCGCGGTGAAGTATAGCTCAAGTCATCATCGGTGTAGTTCCAACCGACGTCGCGGTAAGCGGGTCAATGGAATAGGGCAGAAGCTTCAGAGACTGTTACTGAGAATGTTGGGGATCGTGTCAGGCTGATGACAGTGTAGGGGTTATGGGGTGACCTCTTACGCGTTGGGGATAAAACGATTAGTCCTGCTTCGGTGATCGTACCACGAAAGTGACCGCCAACAGGTCCACGTAGAGCGTGTCTCACTGCCCAAAAGAATAAGAAGAGGTGAACCCCGCTGCTGTAGCATCACTCTTTTCAGCTCAAGTGAGTTTTACCCAACGAAATATTTCACTACGGTAGTTTGGTAGCTGTAGCTTGAGGACCACCAACGAAGTCAACAGCGAATCGCCAGATAAGAAAGAGGCTACAGTATTTATTATCTCCTTTCCTTGGGCGTGTCTGTCGCCAGTCGGGCGTGGAGATAGGACACAGATCATGTACATCAAGGGGGACCTTGATGTGCCCGCTACGCTCCGTTCCCCGCTCCGCTGCTCCGTCCGCTACACAGTGTCGTCGACCGCAAAGTAAAGATTTTTATGTCGTCCTGTAAGCAGTCTAGCGATCTTTCCAACGTTTCGCCCGGACCTGGATAAGTCTAACACCCAAGCTCCGGTGATGTTGTTCGCTGCATTCCATTGGGCCATGACTTGCTTGTCCGGCCCTTGAAAGCAACAAGGATGTCTGGTTCTCCGGTAGAGAAAGTACCACGAACCTGCCCGGGGGTCACGAGCAATACACGGAGAATAACCAACCCGCTGAAGAGGGTTAGTGATGTTGTTGTTGTCTTCACATAAAAAAAACGTTCCGGTCTCCGCTCAGTACCTTCTCGTGTCCGTACTAGTCCAACTGACGCGGACGCCTTCCGTGGTCACAAGCTAACTGCCCCAGACACCTTTCTTCATAAACGTAAAAGATGGACACCAGAAAAGTTCCCACAAGTCGCGATTTTGTTTTTATCTAACTATTTGAATGCAGAAAATACAACCAACAGGAAAAAAGGCTTGCCTATGATGACACGCCCAAAACACAATCACAGCCATGTCGCAAGACAACATCAGAAAGAGGATCAATTTTCGACCGTTGAGCATGTCCAAGCGCCAACGAAATCAAGTAAGTATTTTATGTGTTGGAATGCCATCGTCGGACGCACTACTAGAAAATAGTTACGACGTTTTTCGACATGCATTTTCAGTGTTTGTCGCAATTGTTTTGAAGACGTGCGTGGGTGGGCAAAACCCGAGGTCTCTGTTGACGTGAAAAAGGTAATTGCGCGATCCACACAGCTTCCCACTGCTGTACAGCGAACATGTGCCCTTTTTCCGGTGTGTCAACGAAGGTCACGGGGCTGAAACGTACAGGACATACTGTAGTATGCAATGCGATATGAAGCGCGTGGTATGCTCGCCAGATACTACGCGATTCACAAGAAGAGTGTACGACACACACACCCTCTTACCCCCCCCCTGCTGTGCAGCAGACGGGTATTTCGACCTTCAATGTGTTCGTCACTGCAGGTAATGGTTATTCGCCAACGTGCACAGCGTCCAGGCTTGTAGACTGCTATAGATAGTTTATGCACTGCTGTTGTCCCGCGCAACTTGCAGTTGGGGATACTAGACTGCAACGTCGACTGCGCCGCGATGTACACAGCTTTCTAACTGCTGTGTCATGCACACAGCCGCACGCTGCTCTTTAAGTTTGCGCAGCAGACATGCGAGCGGAACCCCACGTGTGTGTCGTGTGTCACCTGTAACAACATCACCACGTCTTTCGAAACGCTCCGGCTTGTCCCTGTGCGACAATTTGATTCGTGGTGGTTCGGTGCGTTGTCCACTACTGTAAGCAGGCCCTATCATCTATACCATGTGATACTGCCGCACCGTGCGAACTGTTGTCTTGCACTCTTCTCCCAGGCATCCCTATACATGACATCTACACACCGCTTTGCCTACGGTGCGCACAGCTGTGCAACGAAAAAGCACAAGCAATGAACGACAGCGATTGATTGCGCAAGAACGACAATGATAATCGTATGCCTGTCATGCTCGGAACAAATTGGCTGTAAATGCGAGGAGACGCGCACGACGCCCGAATAAGAATGCTGCCACAAACACAGGGACACGACTCAGCGCCACCCATCACAAACCATCCGCCTCAGGAATCAATAATCAACCATATCAACGAAACGTAGATCCGACATTTTTGCGGCGAAGAGGGATCGTCTGGACGACAGTTTGAGTTCTCAACGGTCACCAAGAACTAGTCGAGACTCCACAACATGATGCATTCGCGACGAGACATATCTCAGGCAGGAACCGCAGGAGGGGGTCCAAACCCCCCTCCTATGTGACCCCGGTTGGGTCGGCTAGCTGGTATAAGTGGAGGATAGGGGTCAGAGGGGCAGACGACAGAGTCCAATGATGGGAGACAAAAATGAATAAATATATAAGTATATATATATATATATATCGGCCCAGCTGCACACCGTCATCCTCACCCAGCGACGTCAAACACTCCTTGATGCACGCGCTGAAATTGGTATACCGGTGGAACGCGCTGACCCTTGCAAACATTGTGGAGCTACGCTGTTCGCCAAGTCGTCTAGAGGGATATGCTGCGACAATGGAGAGTAGTACGTTCCACGACTACCACCCCTGCCATCAATTCTCCAAGACCTCTACACATCCATCCCCTCATCCATCGGCGCAAAGAAATTGCAAAGCATCCCGGGCGCATACAATTGCCATTCCAGCTTTGCTTCAATGGATGTCGAAGACGGACAACTAAACAGGAAGTTTGGTCACCATCGCTTGTCCGTTCAAGGAAGGTGAGTATTTGAGTATTTCTACTTTTTAATATTTATCATGCATACATACGTGGAAAATACATCGACGTAAGTATGTCGTTACACCGAGCGGCGCGCCGCTCTGCTTGTCGAATAACAACGTTTTTTCCTGCCGCGAATAAAACGAAGTAATTAATCTACATTAAATAAACCATTCATTTATTTCTCGAATTTGTCCTTTCCATCCCCCCCCGCCCCCCCCGGTGTTTGCCATCGGGGATGGGTTTCGTCGCTTGGCAACGACGTTGTAAAACAAGCCAATTCACTTCGTGAACTCGGCAACCAGGTTACCGTTTTTTTTTTTTACCTCCGTTTTTTTTTTTGGCGGTAACCATAATGGTGGTCGAGTAGATCATGTTGTGCGGGGTGGAGAACCCTCACTCCGCGCAAGGGGGATGATCGCACCACGTTGTGTTAAAATGGTCAAGCACCCTCGAGGCAGTTACACAGTGCTTACAACTGTCTCTGGAAGTGAAAGCACCAGAAAATAAATTAAGTCATACGCAGCTGTCATCCGTACGCAAGGAAGTAAGCACAAGATGCCGAACACCCTTAGCAGGATGCAGCGCACCCTTCATGCGACTCGCCGAATATCTCACGGCGCTTCGCGCTTGGTGATGTGAGAGCCTGGTCCGGTGAGAACCCGACGTGCTCCGTCCCGGCTTGTAGGGATGCGAGGTCAATGGTCTAATGACTACGGCATGCACGACTATGAGTACACCCCGCATCCCCCCCCATAAATTTCAGAACTTCAGGGAGGGAAAGCCCGCATTCCAACTCCAGGTAGAGGCATGGAACGAAATGTATGTATGATACAAGCGGTAGGTAGGCCAAGCTTTGAAAGACAAGAGGGCCTTGCTGCGGGATGTTGGGGCACTGCTCACTCCCGTATTCATTGAAGACGGTGTTCTTTGTTGTCATCCTGTTGGTTAATAGAAAATACAACTATGCAGGTAGGTCCCCTTCAGGACGACCATTGATAATAACGGTAAAGGAGATCACAAAACATCACGTGCATATTATTATGGTACTCTGGCGGATACATACACAAACAAACGCGTTTTTTTGTCCGATGGACCCTCTACGGAAGATGAATTCGTGCTTTATCCGCAAGCTGCAATCAAACGTCTTGTGTTTGTTCCTTGCCTTTACTATATCTTCCTTGCCCGTTGCATTAAGGCCTGGTCTGAACCACTTTGGTGCTCCCACACTTCACACTCACATGTCCTTCCCCCTCGGCCTGTCCCCGGCCGGGACCGAAATCGACCTAGTCAGTCCCTCGCGGGCGAACCAGGCCACAACAGATAGTAGGCGGGTGGTGTCCCAAAGTGCAACTCCCCGCCGCGCTGGCGTAGCGTGGCGGTGAGGATGCACAGACGGTGGTAGTGGCGAGAGGTGTGTATGGATACTGTTCCCGCAGCAGTGATGCAAAGCGGCGAACTGCACCTGGCAACCACCGGCGCGGAAAGCGTGGTCCACGAAGCTGGAGAAGTAGAGAGATTCGTAAACACCACGTCAGTAAGCACCGCTCGCGGGATAAGGGAGAGAACCGCGGGCACCGCGGGGAGGGAGTGCTGCACCCTCCTCGTCAAAACACCACAGGCAAGAACCGAGCTCTGCAGAGATGGATTGATGCGAGGGAATTCGCTGCTCGGGAAATACGAAAGAAAGCACACCCGCAACGCGAGGCGGGCCGAGCCGCAGCGGCCGTCAAGGCGGTTTCGAAGAAGAAGGCACGAGAGGGCGACCTATCGTTCGGCACGTTCAACGTACGCACGCTCGCCTACAGCGGTAGGAACCCCATCGGTCACAACGTGATGACGGTCATGCAGATTTGTTCCGCGACCGGCTGTGATGTGATAGGACTCGGGGAGACCCGTCGGGTACGTGATCATCTGGAGTGGCGCCCGTGCTGGCACCAACGACTAGAGGGGAGTACACGGTGTGGGCATAGCGATCAAGGAGGCCATGTGGGAGAGTGTGGGCGAGGAAGGTAGCACGGTGGAGTGCATTAGCCCGAGGCTGATGAAGGTGCGTCTACAAATAGGCCGCACCTGCGGAGTAACTTTCGTGGTGGGGTACGCCCCCACGGAAACTTTCCGAACCACCGCGGGCGGTGATCCTAATGCCAAGGACTCCTTCTGGACTGCTCTCGACGCAGCGATCCGGGAGGTTCACAGCCGTGACCATCTCGTGGTGCTAATGGACGCCAACGCACGCACTGGTAGGAGGCGAGACGGGTGCTGCGATGCCAAGATTATGGGCGCGTACGGACGCGACATTATGAACAACAACTGGGAACGACTCCTTGGACTGGCAGCAGACAACCAACTCTCCCTGACCAACACCTGCTTCCGGGCAACGAAAGGTGGAGTGCAGCACACATTCCAGAGTTCCAACAAGGGGAAGGAGAAGTACCGCCCTGACTTCATCCTCATGCGTCAGACGGACCGGCGTTTCGTGCGTTTATGTCTCCGTCAAACGTGTCGACTTCAAAGACTCTGACCACAACCTCGTGCTTACGAC